TATATACCAGACCCACACACACCCACATGTCATGGGATACACCATGAGCCACCCACACACACCCACATGTCATGGGATACACCATGAGCCACCCACACACACCCACATGTCATGGGATACACCATGAGCCACCCACACACACCCACATGTCATGGGATACACCATGAGCCACCCACACACCCGATGTCCTCGAAGTACGACACAGCGCTATCTGCCGGTCCCAGATAGACCACATTGCCAGCCACCAGCAGACACAGCTTATCAAACAGATTGAAAACGTCCGTGGACGGCTGGTGAATGGTTGCTATGGTCGTACGGCCTCTGTTGGTGATGTCTCGCATGACCATCATCACCTCCAGTGCCGTGGCTGAGTCTAAGCCGGTGGTAGGCTCATCCAGGAACAGCACACGCGGGTCTGTGATTAGTCTGGGGAGAAGCAGGAGGTGGTAGTGTTAGGACTATACAGCATTGTCGCACACGCCTGTTCGAGAAGCCATGGGTGGTTTTGTTAAGACTATATAGAAATGGGTGGTATTGGTAAGACTATATAGTACAGTGTGCATTGTATAGCACTATCTAGCATTATCTCACATGTTTGTAAGATAAGCGATGTGTACAGAAGATAAGAGTGTGAGAGAGAGAAGGAGGTGTGTGTGCAAATAGGGGGATAGAAAACACCTAAAACGCCAAAAAGTGGGACAGAAAACCCCTAAATCCTAAATTAGTTGCAGTTTAAAACCCTACAACCTTAACCAGTTGCAGTATGTCCCTCCCGTTGCCCAATCACAATGCACCACGTCATTCGTCCGACTGTTTCACATCATCGCTTATGCTTATGGCACAATCACTATCACCACACGCGAAAACTAGCAACAACCCACTACTGACACCCACAAACGATATACGTCAACGGAATACAAAGGCAATCATAAGACCAATGTACACACACAACAGCACTGTAGCAGTCATTCTATCAATAGAATACACACACACACTGCAGCAGTCATCCTATAAAAAGAATACACAACCGCACTGTAGCAGTCATTCTATAAATAGAATACACAGCACCACTGTAGCAGTCATTCTATCAATAGAATACACACACACACTGCAGCAGTCATCATATAAATAGAATACACAACCGCACTTAGCAGTCATTATATAAATCGAATACACAGCACCACTGTAGCAGTCATTCTATCAATAGAACACACACACACATACTGCAGCAGTCATCATATCAATAGAATACACAACCGCACTGTAGCAGTCATTCTATAAATAGAATACACAGCACCACTGTATCCGTTCTTCTCTAGACGTCGTGGGTGGTCGTGGGTGTGGTGGTGTGCACTTACTCGATGCCGATGTTGACTCGTTTGGCCTGTCCACCGGAGATACCACGGATCTGCGCATTACCTATCATGGTGTCTTGGCACACATCTAGGCCCAACTCATTGATGACCTGCGGTTAAAAAGGTCCGTTATTGAAAAAATTGGGGTTATTGGAGAAATGTACGCTATTCAATAAATGTGCGATATTAAACAAATGTACGATATTAAACAAATGTACGATATTAAACAAATGCAACAGAAGCATATACGTTAAACACAGTAACATATGCGCATACATTTAGTACAATAATAGAAGTATATACGTTTAACACAGTAACACATGCGCACACATGCACTACAGCAACAGAAACTATACGTTTAACCCAGCCTGCTCGTGTGTGCGGGTGAGCGTACCTTCGCTACGCGTTCGTTGATATACGCCGTCCCGACACTTCTAGGCAGGCGAATGCGGGCGGTATAAAACAGAATCTCCTTTGGCGTTAAAAACGGCAGCAGGATGTCTCTCTGTTCAACATAGCCCACCTGTACAACCATGGACAGCACACACACGCACCAAGGGAAGAAGGTTGGGGCACATCAGCTGGTAAGTGGATAGGACGGCGATATCATGCATACAGTTCTGCTATTACTTGCGAAGGCAACTCAAGCAATGCCCCACAGGACACAGCAACAGCAGCCATGCACACATATGCCTGTAGACATATGCGCATTCATATGCCTGTATACATCTGCGTATTCATATGCCTGTAAACATATGCGTAATCATATGCCTGTAGACATATGCGTATTCATATGCCTGTAGACATATGCGTATTCATATGCCTGTAGACATATGCGTATTCCTATGCCTGTAGACATATACGTATTCATATGCCTGTAGACATATGCGTATTCAAATGCCTGTAGACATATGCGTATTCATATGCCGTAGACATATGCGTATTCATATACCTGTAGACATATGCGTATTCATATGCTTGTAGTCGTATGCATATTCGCCAACGGGTGTGTTGTCAAACCCCTAAAAACACTCGTGCCGTGGGATGCAACGGATTCTACAACGACAACAGCTGAGACGGATAGTGACTGTGAAGTAGCATGGGTCACTTGGGATGTCTATAGACAACATGTCCGATATGCACGTTCAACCAACACTACACAATACATTTACTACAAACAACACTGCACGCTACACTTGCGCTAACACCTTATACGTTGTGCGGCGGGACAGAGTGGTTAGAGAGAGGCATAGTACGGGTTAGACAGGAGTGAGTGCACACACCACTCCAGCACACGTACGGAGGTTGATGTGCAGACTACTGGAACGAGATATGATCACCCCCTACATGGCCACAGACCAGCCACATCAGTGGACGCTTCAAATGACAAACACGTTTACGATCCCACCCTAAACGTAGATGCGCTTCATACACTTTCACGGCCACATACCAAACCCATCGGTTAACGTATTGAATTACAAATACCTATGTAACCACCGTCCCAAACGTGCCCAGGACACACATACTACACGTGCATGGCCACATACCAAACGCTTATACGCTGCACCTGGTTCGGAGCCATTCACTAGTAACTCGCCTTCAATAGTGCCCGTGTTCTTACGCATTGCCAGGACATCCAGCAGAGTGCTTTTACCCGCACCCGAGGGTCCCATCAGGGCAGTCATAGTATTGGGCTGAATACATAGATAGTACGTTCATGAGTGAGGGGGTGGTACAATGGGAATGTTCGTTACAAAGATACACACGCATAGAGAGCCAGAACGGGCTCCATAGGCACAATAAGCACGGTACGAGACTATGGGTAAGACTCAGTGCCTGGAGGGTTTGTGTTGAGTACATAGTGAGGCGAACATTGCCTATTTGAAAAACCCGAAAACCCGAACAAGACGTACTCTGAAATGCACAGCTAAAGGCACGACCCTGTTGAAGCATAGACTCTAACACACTACACAGCCACAGCACATCGATGGACTGTCACCTGCTCATCTCCCCCCAGGCAGAGATATCTAATAAGCTTGTTCAACACCGTGAGATCAATATCGCGCCGACACGGGACATGGGTGTGCATAGTAATATGCAGAACTCAACAAAGACTCTCCGTATGCGATATCCCAAACCCTAAAAAATCGGCTACCTACACCCCTGCCTACCAGATACGACCAGTCCTAATACCATCACGCCCATGAACCCACACATCCTACTACCAGCATGCCCCTACACCATCATGCTTGATCCTATGAAGCGTCTCGCATATAGAAGTCAACGACCCCTTTCATTGCCGAACGCCTCACCCTCAATCATACTCCGACATCTCTCGCACTCCCAACCATCCACACGTCTAGTAAACTATTGGCCACGCACGCGCCTTACATACCTTGATGGTTCCTGTGACATTGGTGAGCAGAAACTTGTCCTCCATCTCAGACTTTGGGAATCCTGACATGGACAGCCCACGGATCTTCTCCCACATCGTGAACTTCTTCACCTCAATGGGCACTGAGTAGTGCAATGCGTTGAACTGTAGAGAATTTATTCACATGGTTATCACTCATGCCAGGGAGGAGACTGCAAGCCAGTTGTGTACAACATATGCATGCAGAGTATCAGAGGTGTTTATAAGATATGCATGCAGAGTATCAGAGGTGTTTATAACATATGCATGCAGAGAATCAGAGGTGTTTGCAACATATGCATGCAGAGTATCAGAGGTGTTTATAACATATGCATGCAGAGTATCAGAGGTGTTTATAACATATGCATGCAGAGTATCAGAGGTGTTTATAACATATACATGCAGAGTAAAAGTGGTGTTTATAACATATGCACGTAGAGTATCTGTGGATATAGGAGATATGGCTTGCACTAGTGAGTTTGCTCCCAGAACCGCAACGGAGAAAATATTGTAACGGAAAGAGGCAACGCAAACATCGGCCCGATGAAACCAAAAATAGAACAACTTAAAGGGAACAATGTTAGTGTGTAGTGCAACCAGCGAGCACGGAGGCGATAATGGCCTATGGAAACACAAATACTCAGTTCAATCGTTGTGAAAGTGGATGCAAGCATACATTCAACATAATATACAAGCTAAATTCAACATAATACACGAGCATACATTAAACATAATATACAAGCATACTTTCAACATAATACACAAGCATACATTCAACATAATATACAAGCATACATTCAACATAATATACAAGCATACATTCAACATAATATACAAGCATACATTCAACATAATATAAAGGCATACTTTCAACATAATATACAAGCATACATTCAACATAATACACAAGCATACATTCAACATAATATACAAGCATACATTCAACATAATAT